GGCTTCTTGCGAGCCTCCCGAAAGCCTCTGCGGTTTCTGCGGAGACAGTGGCCTGATAGGGCCGCAAGGGACGCTGTGGGAAAGCAGCCAGTCCGCCTAAGGGAAGAGGAATCAGCAGTTTTTAACCTCTCAGGCAAGGGAAGCCTAAGTAAATGAAGTTTCGGACTGTGGCCACAGGGTTAGTGTTTCAAGCCACCTCCACCATAATTTTATTTAGTCCTGTATTGGTCTCAGCCTTCTTTTTCAGATCAAAGATCAGACTTGGGGGAGAAAAAGAAGGCAAAGACAAAGGGCATTCCCACTTCTCACACCGCATCCAAATCCTTTAAATACCTTTCACATACTGTTTTAATATTCAGCAAACAGTTGTTTATTAGGAACGTTGCACCATAGTGATTTACTATTCTGTACATTTTGTGAGTTTCTGAGTGATCAAAATTTTATTTAAGCTGTAAAGGCCCAAAGACTCTCAAATTCTTACCGAAAAAATCTCCAAACAAAAATTGGATTTTGCTGTTCATTTCTGTTATGTTTGTATATCCTCATAAAACATTTATCCTACAAACTGTTCTGTGATATTTTAGTTGGAAACTAGAAGTCTCTTGTCCCAAATAAATGCACAAAGTAACCCCTCCCAATTGTCATGATTATTTTCCAGAATTCAAACTATTCAAATATATTTTCTATTAAGTCATTGGGAAGAAGTACATAAAATAGGATTATGTCCCAGGGTAGGTATCTTGTTTAATCATGTAAATACTGATTTTTATAATAAAAATTCACCAAAGTATACCTATTATTGGTTTGAATTAGACCAGGTGAATACAGCATTTCAGAACAAATTAGTCTTCCACATGGAGTGGCTGGTCGTTTTTCAGTAACTAAACTATAAGCCAAGGCAGAAGCAATGACCCAGAGTTATTAGCCTTTCCTACTTTCAACATTTTTAAACAGGTACAAATTGACTAATTAACTAAAAGGGGGAAATAATCTAAAGGATTAACTGACTCTTTTGATGTTTTATATGTGAAAGGACAATAAAGGAGAGGTTGATCAACGTACTGAGAAATCAAGAACTCTCACTGCTTTCCTTCCAGTCACAGAGAGGCAGTAGAAGTGGTGAATTAGGCTAAGGAAAAAATTAATCTATGAGACACATCTTCGGACAAGATATTTGCTGATTTTTCCTTAACAGCAAAAGACATTTCCTTATTAAGTAGTTATTAGGTGGTTACTTGTAACAGCTGAAATGTTGACCTAAGATCTCATCTTTAGTGTTGTTTATGCCTCACATGAATAAGATTAACATGATCTATAGATAATGAGTCAAACACAGTACTATTTTAGGGCCAGTAGGACAATTAGGTAATCTCTTGGGTCAGGAAACAGTTTAAGAAAGGAATATAGCACAAATGAATACTTAGCATTTGGTGAAAGGAAATCCATATAAAATTCTTAAACCTTAATCTATCTTTATTACTAAAAAAATATTTACTTCCTGGTGATTACTATCTAAACATACAACATATATATTATCTACATTATATATATTTTTATTTATATGCTTGTATATGTAGATCTATAAAAATCATTTCTGATGTTTTACAGTTTATAAAACATATGGTTTAATATGTTTTATATATATTCTTGAATATATAAAAAATCTACTTAATCTGGCTCTTCCATGGATATTGGTAGTGTTCACTTTGACACTGACATTAAGAATATCACACCTAAGGGGCGCCTAGCTGGCTCAGTTGGTTAAGCATTTGACTCTTGATCTCAGCTCAGGTCTTAGTCTCAGGGTCATGAGTTCAAGCCCCAAATTGGGCTCCACCTGGGCATGGAACCTACTTTAAAAAAAAAAAATCACACTTGAGAACAGAGTAATTTGATAACTATTACTTATTTTTTTAATTTTCATTCATTTTCTAAGATTTTTCTCCCCTCTTAAGAAAATTTTAATACTTTTCCACACAAACATATGTAAAGTTAAAGAAGCTTGAGTAGAAATTAGGCTGAATTATGTTTAGTGTAGTAACAAGTGATTTTTTTAAACCTCCTTTTTCTCACCTAATTTGGAATTCAAAGCAAATTAACATTATCTTTGTTTTAACTGATTATCACCAGTAGAAAAAATGAAAGAAGTACCTTAACATTCTTACTTTCTTACTTAAGTGACATATTTCCAACTGGAATTACCTATCCGGTTTCCTATCATCCTGAATTCTTCCTCTGAATTTCCTGAAGGCTGGAACATAGTCTCAGAGGCTAGGACCAAATCTGACCTTTGGGAGCAGGGTGGAATGAAGGGTGGGAGTAGAATTTAAATGGTTTTAGTTAGGTCTGTACTTAAGGGGCTCAACATCAAGTCAAATCTCACATTGACCTTTTCCCCAGTTCTAGCAACTGGCTTTCAACTTGTATACAATTCTAGCAACCAAATCTCTATCTTATTTTCCTCATACCTACATCCTCATTCTAACAAGTCTTTCACTCCACACATTAAAAGCTTGCTCCTGTACCCCAGCCTCAGTATCAGTTGGTAAACTGACCAACCTACAACTAAGTGTGGGCCTGTTTGGATCTCTAATGTTCTTTGCATCTAGAGTCCCACTGCACTGCTCCTTCTATGAAATGGCTGTCCTATGCCAGTCATGTAAGCCACTTGCCTCGACTGCCAGCTTCTTTCTGACCTACACATCCCTCTGTGTAACATGTTCTGCCTGGCTGAACATCCTCCTGTCATTCCCAATTAAGTTTACCCTGGCCTTCCACTTGTCCTGTCACAGTCAGGAGATGTGACATAAAGAATTAAAATTTATAAATGTCAGACAGACTTATTTTAACACATGAAAAGCATAAAACTAGGAATAAAAGATGTTGAAAATAACCACTATAACACTATGATCTCTACATATAGACTTAGAAAGTCTTAATGAAATGATTGTGCCAGCTAACAGCTAATATGGCCAACTAGCAAAGAGACTTGCAGGAATTTGCTACTCGTGCGTTATAAATTTGCTGAATTGAATGCAAACAAATGAAAAGAGACATGTGATGATTCTTGGAATTAATATAAGTACATGGGAAAAGAGTTTTCAAAGTTTACGAACGTTGTTACTTATAAAAGTCAGAAGAGTTCTTTACTCATAGTCAAATAAATAATGAAGATCATTCAACACTGAAACAAGTTTTATATTCTATCACAGGGGTTGGCAAACTCCTTCTTCCTAAGGGAGTCAGGTAGTAAATATTTAGGCTCTGTTTCATCTACTCAATTCTGTCACTGTGGCTTGAAAACCATAAACAATAAGTAAATAAATGTGTATGGCTATGTTCCAATAAAACTTAATTTCTGGATGCCGAAATAAAAATTTCAGAAAAGTTTCATTTCACAAAATATTCTTCCTCTTTTGATGTATTTTCTTTTTTTTAAAGATTTTATTTCTTTATGAGAGAGAGCAAGACAGCAAAACCACAAGCAGGAGAGGGTCAGGGGGAGAGGGAGAAGCAGGCTCCTGGCTAAGCAAGGAGCCCGTCGTGGTGGCTAATCCCAGGACCCTGAGATCATGAACCGAGCCCAAGGCAGACACTTAACTGACTGAGCCACCCAGGCGCACCTTTTTTGATGTATTTTCAACGACTTTAAAATGTAAAAGCTATTCTTGGCTCAAGGGCCAAATTTCGCTCACTGGTTGGGTTGTAATTTGCCAACCTCTGTTTAATGCATATTTTCCCAGACTTCCAGATGACTAGAAATGTGTGTTTATGCTGTGTATGGGGGGGAGGGGGACGGGTGGGAAAGCAAAAATGTTTTTGCATATTCGAGGATATACCCATCCTTACCTTAAAAAAAAGTCCCTTTACATTTTTTTAAATATGCAGAATTTTGCTTGACTAGTTAGCAATTTAAGTCCTCCATTTGTGATGTACAGAATTTTTCTTTAACACACGTGGTTTTTATCCAATAACCAAGATGGAAATGGGAAGTAACCAGGAGATTATCTCTAAGCCTAAACAAAAGAAACAAAACAAAAGCTTGAAAAAGACAAAGACAAACAAACAAAACTCTTGAAAAATAAGTAAGGTTCTGGAGAAGCTATTTCCACCATCTAACTCCAGTTGGATTCCCAAATGGTTAACTTTTGATGATAGAGTCACATACCTCCAAGTGACAACTATATAAAGGACACAAGGAGATGGAAGAAGTGAAACATTGCACTGGTTTATTTAATAGTCACATTGTAAATAAATATGCTCCATTGCTAAAAATAATAGTTATGGGGCTGGAAGATTTTTTTTTAAGATCTTATTTATTTTTTTTGACAGAGAGAGACACAGCGAGAGAGGGAACACAAGCAGGGAGAGTGGGAGAGGGACAAGCAGTGGGAGAGGGAGAAGCAGGCTTCCCACGGAGCAGGGAGCCCGATGTCGGGCTCCATCCCAGGACCCTGGGACCATGACCTGAGCCAAGACAGATGCTTAAGGACTGAGCCACCCAGGAGCCCCTGGAAGATTTTTATTATAAGGATAAGTAAACACGGAGATGAAAGTATAGCAAATAATTATTTTCTTATAATACAGATTTCTATTATTTACCAAAAAAAAAAACCCCTCAACCACAACTTGTCTGATAGGTTCTAGGACTTCATGTGATATCACAAAGAGAAAAAAATAAAATGGGGGGAGGGGGGCGGCACCAAAAAAACAGATCTGAGTATTTGATACTTTGTTCTTTCCTGTGCCCTCTAAACTTGTCACTTTCTTCTCTCTCCATTTTAGATTCATTGCATATCCTTTTCAGATTCTTTTTATGTTAACCCTCTGGTCCCTCCTCCCTCATCTCTCTAGTTCCTTCTCCCTCATCTCGTTTTATAGCTCTTGAAAATCTCCCTTTCTTTTTACTCTTCCCCTTGCGGTACCTACTAAAACCTTAGAAAAGAGATGTATATTCTGAAACTTCTGTGGGCTTCTAAGTGACGCTGAGCATGCTCAGTAGCTAGGGCAGGTTTTGTCGCCAGCAGCTGCCCTGATTCGACCTCTCCAAAAATAGACATTTAACTCTTTGAACTCCTGTTTAAAGATGTAATTCGTTTCGCTCTCTCCTCATTTTCAAGGTTCAAAGGGAGGCAGAGAGGATTCCGAGGTCCCACCGCTCTCCCAGCCAATGAGGAGCCTGAAAGGGAGGAGCCCGGGGCGGCTTGGTGCAGCTTGAGCTTCTGAGGGATTCATCCCCGTAGATGCCGTGCAGCCTGAGCTCTGCTGCATCTGTCACAGCAGAACAAAATTAAAACAAAAACAAAAAACAAAAACCAGAAGAGGAGAAATGCTGCAGACTATGGAACGCTGTAGGACTTTCTGAAACATTTGCTGGGGATTCCCGTGGAGCATGATCTTTTAAAACCAATTCTTTTTGAAGCCTGTTTGGGTAACTGGGAAAATGACAAATATGCTAAATGCAGCAGCTGATCGGGTGAAATGGACCAGATCGAGTGCTGCTAAAAGGGCTGCCTGCCTGGTGGCTGCCGCATATGCTCTGAAAACACTCTATCCCATCATTGGCAAGCGTTTAAAGCAATCTGGCCACAGGAAGAAAAAAGAAGCAGTTTATCCGGCCGCAGAGAACAGAGAAATACTGCATTGCACCGAGAACACTTGTAAAAAACCTTGTCCTGGAGTGAATGCAGATTTTTTCAAACAGCTACTAGAACTTCGGAAAATTCTCTTTCCAAAACTTGTGACCACTGAAACAGGCTGGCTCTGCCTCCACTCGGTGGCTCTAATCTCAAGAACCTTTCTGTCTATCTATGTGGCTGGTCTGGATGGAAAAATCGTGAAAAGCATTGTGGAAAAGAAGCCTCGGACTTTCATCATCAAATTAACCAAGTGGCTTATGATTGCCATCCCTGCCACCTTTGTTAACAGTGCAATCAGGTACCTGGAGTGCAAATTGGCGTTGGCCTTCAGAACTCGCCTGGTGGACCATGCCTATGAAACCTATTTTACAAATCAGACTTATTATAAGGTGATCAATATGGATGGGAGGCTGGCAAACCCTGACCAATCTCTTACTGAGGATATTATGATGTTCTCCCAGTCTGTGGCTCACTTATATTCCAATCTGACCAAACCTATTTTAGATGTCATCCTGACCTCCTATACGCTGATCCAGACTGCTACCTCCCGAGGAGCGAGCCCAATTGGGCCCACCCTATTAGCAGGACTTGTGGTATATGCCACTGCTAAAGTTTTGAAAGCCTGCTCTCCCAAATTTGGTAAATTGGTGGCTGAAGAAGCTCACAGAAAAGGCTATTTGCGGTATGTGCACTCCAGAATTATAGCCAATGTCGAAGAAATTGCCTTTTACAGAGGACATAAGGTAAGATAGAAATTAAGGTGATGAGTGAAATGTGAGACTCTTCCAGCTGCCACTGCAGTGCTAGATACCATCTGTTGTCCTGTTGATGGACCCACTTCTTTAGCGTTTTAGATTTCTGTGACATCTAAACCTGTATTGAAATATGTGCTTCCTTACCTTTCTAGTTACAAGCTGTTAAAAAACTGTGGAATGCAAACTTTTCTGAAGTTTCATGGGGATAAGGTTTTCACCAATCTGAAAAACAGGCTACTTAGCCTCAGCAACCCAGATATGCTCAGAATTCTCTCCAAAGCATTTTCCTAAAACTTAAATTCTAACTGGTTGGTCCTAGAGCATTAGAAGAAAAATTTTGTTTGGAAACTCAGTAAACACATTTCCACTGAAATGGAAAATTTAGGATGGTATTCTTGTTGTTGTTGTTCCTTTGTTTTTCAAGAAGGGAAAAAACCCATGCTTTTATGTGAAAGACAAGTTTAACAATTTTGTGCGTCTGGTCAATGGAGTGACCTCAGTCCTCAGAATTGCAGGAGAATGTGTCTCACAAATAGCATTTGCATTACTCTTAGTTAATGTTCAGCACCATATTTTGAGACAGATAAAATGAGGCAGTGAAATGAAATTTTGCCTAGCTTTGAGGGAAAAGCTAAGATTAGAGAAGAAATGAGAATGAGAAAAGGAGTTCCAGAATGTTATTTTTAAATATTAAAGATTTTCAAATTCAAGTAGGTCCCTAAAATAGTTAGCCTAATTACATAAGCTTGCAGTGCATTAAAGTAACTTCAGAATATTAACTATGATGGAAATTTTTAAGGTGATTCATCTGAAATCTTAATACACATGAATTTGCCAATGAAATGTTAAGGAATTCTAAAGCTGAAAATGGTATTTTAATTACCAAATAGAATTATTTAATTTTGGAAGCATCATCAATTATCAAAAAAATTTTAAAGTAGTAGCAACCTGAAGAAGAACATTTAAAGCAAATTTAGGACTTCTACTCCCTCTTGAAAATTGGTCTCATGTGTTAATCATACTGACTGGTCATTCCTCTTGAATCATTGAACTCAGTGATGTAAATTATAGCATGCTGTGGGCTTCTTGCATTTAAGACAAAATCCAGTAAATTGAGTTAGTTCAAAAGTGGAGTCTAATTACACATGTGTCTTGTCTTTATTTTTAGATATTTTTGGTTTGATCAAAAAGGATAAGGTTCTAACATTGTTTATTCCTGTCTTACAGTATATTATTTATTTTTAACATCTTATACATATAATTTTGAAATCGTAGTTATAAATCACTTATATGTATTTTATACTTAACATTATATTGACTGAGTATTATGTTTTTTAAAAATAATACGGGTGTGACCAAAACTAGATAATAATGGTTACTCCTGATATTGATCTATATTTATTGGTTCTTAGAATCATAGATAATACTATACTAAGTAAAACAAAATAATATGTACTTGTCTTTTAAGAAAGTCCTCAAACGTACAATATTTAATTTTATAGCTCATGCTAGGTTAATTCTTATCTCTTCTTCCCTCCATAGGTAGAAATGAAGCAACTCCAGAAAAGTTACAAAGCTTTAGCAGATCAAATGAACCTCATTTTATCCAAACGTTTGTGGTACATCATGATAGAGCAATTCTTGATGAAGTATGTTTGGAGCAGCAGTGGACTAATTATGGTGGCTGTACCTATTATCACTGCAACTGGCTTTGCAGATGGTGGTAATGAAATTTATGCTCAATCTCAAGTATATGTTTAAGATTAGTTCTCTTGAAGGTGTCACTGCTGGTTTTGTGTGAGTGAAACTGTGTCTGCAGTCATTATTCTATGGTCATTATTGGTCAGAAATAATGGCAGACCTTGCAACACCCAATAATAAGATCAGCAATATAAAAAAAAAGACAAGTGGTTCAAAATACTTTTCTAGTTCTGAAGTATTTCAGAGATCTCTGATGCAATGTTGCTAGGAGTTGACCTTGAGCAATTTTAATTATTCTGTCTAACACACAATGATTCTCTAGTTTGCACTAAAATTCAAAACAAATTAATACCTTCAAAGAGAGTATTATACAAGTTCTCCCCATGTGTTGTAAACTTCAGTTCTGCACATCCTATGCTTTTAGTCTATAAATATTCTATAACTGGATTGGGCCCTGATTTGTGATTTGAAGAACTGGTTGACTACATGAAGGAACCAGGAATATTATTTCAGGGAATGCTTCCTGCCATGGAACAAGGTCTCCTCTACTTATAGGTAATACAGATAACATCCTATATAGCATGATTTAGTGGCATTGTGGAGGTAGGGGTTAGCAAGTTGCAGGCATCTAATTCTATTCTATCACTGTCTCAGTGGTTTTTACCAACATTTTGATCCTTTGGAATAACTAAGAAAGATAAGGGCAAGAAAGACAACATTACAATGTTGTATAAAACCTAAGATGGGAGTTTGGGTTGTAATTGGCAAGGGCAGGGAGGAATTAATTAAAGAAGCACCATTTTCTCCTCTTCCTCCAAAATAAAATGTTCTCCCTCCTCTTTAAAAACCACTTGACCAAAATTGGCCTTGGTGTTGAAGGCGCTAGAGAAAAGCATGGGCTTTGTAATGAGACAGAGCTTTGCTCAACTCTTGGCTTTCCCTCTTCCTGCCTGTATCCTCTTAGTCATAGTAATTAAACTTTCTAAAAGTTAGTTTCCTCATCTATAAAATGAAAATCAGAAAGGCTACTTCAGAGA